AGTCCTGGGCCGCTCTTTCCTGCATCCCCAGCAGAACTTGCACCAGAGAGACGCTGACATGACCACTTTTTCTCTTCAACTCCTTAAAAATAGGTGATGACTGTGACAAGGTCCACAAAAGCACTGTCCCCAGGCCCTGCATCCTTAGGGAGGCAAAGGAAGGGCTGTGGCTGCAGGGATGCAGCAGGAGCCCAGAAAGGGAAGAGAAACCCTCGGTTTCAGCAAAGGGGAAAAATCAAAATGACAGGGCTGGCAATAAAATAATTCACATTTTTTGAAACTTAGGCATTTAAAAACAGCTCATACATTTTTTTCATATGAGAGTTTCAACAGTTGATATGATGGATGTGTCAGATATTAGTTGAATTCTATAAGAGTATCATTTTTGAGGTTAAAAATATGGTCAAATACTGGATATTTCATTTGGCTTAACCTAATATAATCAACTGCTTTTCTCTGCTGAGGGAAATGGATACAAAGATGAGAAGGGATGAATCTGACGCACACTGAGACCTTCTCCCTCTAAATCCTGACTCTCCCTACCAATGACCTTGCCTCTTGCCCCCAAACCACGGCAGGATCCAGGCCAGGTGGAAACTGGGACCTCGAGGCCAGGCCCTGGGACTGGCCTGGGAACACTTGGGTAATGAGCTGCAGACCCAAAGCCAAAATCCACTTCTCTTTACTGTGGTTCACTTCTCATTCTATGACATCGCCACGCCCTCTCCAACTTGGGAGTACAAAGAGGACTCGCGTGCTCCTGGCCAATGTCACTTATTTGTTTAAAGATCTGATTAAATATGAACCTCCAAGCAGCTTGACCCAAGTTGCAAATTCTGGAAAATTGAACCTAGTATTTCTTCTGTTACCCAGCCTATATGTGTCTACATCTGCATGTACCTCTCAGCATCTCTCTGCATGCGCGCGCGCACACACACACACACACACACACATAACCCTCCAGCACTCGGGAAGCACGCACTCCTGGGGGCTGGGTGTGAGACCGAGGGTGGTGTGGCCCTCCACCTCCATCAGGTCCTGTGAGGGCCGGGCCTGGGGAGCCCCGGCCCAATGCACAGCCCCCCTGAGCACCAATGCATGACCCCCACAAGGCCTTGGTCATAAGGAGGCAGATTCCCAGCCGCTGAAGGAATCCCTGCAAGGCCAGGAGCTGGGAAACCAGCCCGTCGAGGGAGGAAGGATAACCACCCAGTGCTTGGGCCCAGGGGCTCCGTGGGGCCTCTAAGACCTTCTGGAATGAGGCCCACAGGACCTGTGACCCCATCGCAGGGACAGGACTCAGCTCTCCGGGCTCCCAGGGCTCTGCGAACTTACTCCTGCATTCAGTGCACAGGGACTGCCAAGAATCTGGGTCCCCTGTCCTCCTGTCCCACCTCCTGTGATTCCCAAACCTGCCTTGAGGGAGAGATGACAGCATGGGGCCCACGGAGCCGGGGGACAAGCAGGGGCACACTGCAAGAAAGGACAGAGTCCCATCAGGGGACAGCCTCTCTGCTCAGCTCCTGATGGCTGCCGGGGCCCCCTCCCAGGTGGGGCTCCCAGGCCCCCCTCACTGCCCACACTGTCTACAAGCTCCACTGTGGGCACGGGACACACACATCATGGAGAAAGCAGGAAGATGGTGTGCGTGGGGGCCGCGCCATCAGGGAAAGGGTGGGTGGGAGCAGACGGAGAGAAGAAAAGTGAGGATCGAGATAAAAAGGATCGGGAACAGGCCCAGCTTTACGCCCCCACTCAACACGCGGCCTTGTGGGGGTTTGTTTGTTTGCTTGCTTAATTAGAATGATAAATTCTCAGTGACACTTAGGTACACCCTGTCTTCATTACCAAAAGGAGGCTGCAATGCAGTAAGACAAACGATATTCTAAGAAGGAGAACCAGCAGCCCCAGAAAAACAGGGAGGCCGACCCAAGGCCGTGGGTCCCGCCCTGATGCAGCCTGGCTTTGTGCTCACGGGGCTTCTTCAGCATCACAGCCAACAAATGAAGTTGTTCATAGTGAATTATTGAATTATTTCAATGACTGTGATGCATTCAGTTCTTCCAGGTGTTTTGTGTGCTGCCATTTAATTCTCCTAACAGCTCTCAGGTGGGCATTCTCATCACTGCTTTACAAATGAAGCGACTTAGGCTGGGCGATGCCGAGGAACTCGTGTGGTTACAGAGGCACAGGAGGAGAACCCAGGTTCCCGAAGCCCCAGCCCCCCATCGGGATCTTTATGAGGCTCATGATCTGAGGAAGGATCCTCCAGGGCAGGCAGGGGTGACTGGCAGCATCCATCCCAGTGCTCCCGGATCCGGGCTGGCATTTCTGCCTCCTGCACCACCCATTCAGACTCAGACGGGGAACCAGAAGAAATTGTGCAGGGACAGAGTGTGGATTTTGGAGACAACCACTGCTGGTTCAAATATTGGCCTTGCCTCTCACCAACTGTGTCTCTGGGCTAATCACCCAGTGTAGCTGAACCTTAAGTCTCCCCAGCTGTAAATATGGGGACAATAACATAAACCAGGCAGAGCTGATGGAGAGTTAAATGACAAAATATGTGAAGAGGCTGTCCTGGTGCCAGGCACCTAGCAGAGTGCCTGGTAAACATATATTTCATGATTTCATTCAAGGTGACAGTCTGAGAAGCAGTCAAACCTTGAAGCACCAGGGACAGTGTCCCCACAGGAACTCACGCCAGGGCCTCTTGGCTGGTGTGACAACCACAGGGAAGAGAACTGGGTCAGAAGGCAGGTTTTTCAAGCCTGGTGAAATGCAGCTCTAAAGAAACAGAATAAAGGATGAGGACAGACACAGGGCCAGGAGAGGGAAGGCAACGAAAAAATAAGGCAACACAAAGGAGGAGAGAAAATGCAGCAAAGGAGGAAGAAAAGGAAAATGGATATCCAGAGAAGTGACCTCTCTGCAGCCGAGCCTGAAGTCTTAGCCGTTTCTTTCAACTTTATCTGAAAGGCGGTGCTCTGTCGGGCGTCCACAGATACCAAGCAGCACGTTCTCAGAAGGCAGCACAGAAAACCCCCTGAGACCCATCCTCTCCCAGTTGGCCACTGACTGATCATGGCTGACCAGGAATGCCTGCTGAGGACGAAAGGGTGAAGAGTGTCAGAAGCAGGTCAGTCGGGCTCTGGGAGGCTCGGAAAGTGGGGCATCACAGGGAAGATGGTGCAAGAGGGCGGACGGAGGGAAAAGTCATTGCTTTTGACTGTGTGACACTCAGGACCCTTCTCCTGCAGCTGGCTCCCTGCTGCAGGCCACTGAGGTGCACAGACTTGGCACTGGGGGTCCCCCCACCGTGGGGCAGCTGTGCCCAAGGTGGACCCATCAGCAACTGAGTCCAGAAGGAGACTTCAGACCAATTTGTCTTCTACAGACATCAGCCCATAGCAGTGGTTGGAGGCAAACACCTCATCCCTTCCACGTACATCCTCAGGGTATATGCGCTGTAGGGCACAGCGGTTAGGCACGGGGGCTCAGGTGCCAGACGGCATGGCCTCTGCTGTGAGGACTTTCCCTTCTGTAGAATGGGGACAACAGCATCAGCTCCAGTAAGCTAGTGCACGTAACATGCTTGGGGCGTGCTAGCCCGGTGGGTTCAGCTATTTCTAGTTCCTTTTCCCCTCAAGGCTGATCTTGAGAATCTTCTGAACTGAGGGCGACCTAGATGATGCAGTGGGGGGACACACACCTCAGACTCTCCCACCCACAGCACAACTCCCACCTGTGTTTCCCATCCCCAGGAAGGAATGGAAGGACACAGATCGGTGGGATAGGCTCCTCTGGGTTCCACAAGAGGTCCAGCATGCTGGATGCACCGCCGGAGCCCTCTTCAGGAACCAGGCAGCTCCTCCAGGCTGCCGGCAGGACTTCGGGAGAAGGGCCTGGGCCTCCGCTCCAGGTGCACCAGCTAGGCTGAAGGAAGCAGCTCCCCCAAGGCCAGAGCAGCCCTCCGTGGATGGGTGACTGCCCAACCTGGCACCCCTGCAGTACTGGCTGCACCCTTCACGGGTGCTCACACACCCCAGCTCCCCCTGCCTAGTCCTGCTTCCTCCCAGCCCGCAGAGTGACCCCAAAGCTCCCGAGAGCTAATGCTCATCTCCGTCTCTGAGAGCCCACTGGGTAAGAATGTGCTTGAAGCTACTGGCTTGTAGCTTCCAGAAATATGTAGATTGCTTTACATGGGTATTTATGTGTCCAGGTATTTTAATGATATTTTCTCAGGATTGCATTAGGTGGACCTGGATAGACACTCAAACAGCTATGTCTCCCTTAACTTTTAAATTCTAAATGGCTCCTTCCCAATCCACTGTAGTTGCAGAAGGCGGGGGGCGCTTCAGGAACCCCTAAATAACACAGGGGCAGGGAAGTCCTGCCTGCTCAGCGGTCCCGCCACACACCATTGTGTCAGGCCTGATGTCATGACTCACTCAGGCCGTTTCTGGGCGTCCTGTAGCGTGTTTTCCAAGCATGAGATGGGTTCAGTTCGAGCTTCGTGGCCAAAGGGACCTCAGCGGAAGCTACAGTAGTGTCAGAGGGCTGGCCTCGGAGGTGGACCCATCAGCAACTGAGTCCAGAAGGAGACTTCAGACCAATTTGTCTTCTACAGACATCAGCCCATAGCAGTGGTTGGAGGCAAACACCTCATCCCTTCCACGTACATCCTCAGGGTATATGCGCTGTAGGGCACAGTGGTTAGGCACGGGGGCTCAGGTGCCAGATGGCATGGCCTCTGCTGTGAGGACTTTCCCTTCTGTAGAATGGGGACAACAGCATCAGCTCCAGTAAGCTAGTGCACGTAACATGCTTGGGGCGTGCTAACCCGGTGGGTTCAGCTATTTCTAGTTCCTTTTCCCCTCAAGGCTGATCTTGAGAATCTTCTGAACTGAGGGCGACCTAGATGATGCAGTGGGGGGACACACACCTCAGACTCTCCCACCCACAGCACAACTCCCACCTGTGTTTCCCATCCCCAGGAAGGAATGGAAGGACACAGATCGGTGGGATAGGCTCCTCTGGGTTCCACAAGAGGTCCAGCATGCTGGATGCACCGCCGGAGCCCTCTTCAGGAACCAGGCAGCTCCTCCAGGCTGCCGGCAGGACTTCGGGAGAAGGGCCTGGGCCTCCGCTCCAGGTGCACCAGCTAGGCTGAAGGAAGCAGCTCCCCCAAGGCCAGAGCAGCCCTCCGTGGATGGGTGACTGCCCAACCTGGCACCCCTGCAGTACTGGCTGCACCCTTCACGGGTGCTCACACACCCCAGCTCCCCCTGCCTAGTCCTGCTTCCTCCCAGCCCGCAGAGTGACCCCAAAGCTCCCGAGAGCTAATGCTCATCTCCGTCTCTGAGAGCCCACTGGGTAAGAATGTGCTTGAAGCTACTGGCTTGTAGCTTCCAGAAATATGTAGATTGCTTTACATGGGTATTTATGTGTCCAGGTATTTTAATGATATTTTCTCAGGATTGCATTAGGTGGACCTGGATAGACACTCAAACAGCTATGTCTCCCTTAACTTTTAAATTCTAAATGGCTCCTTCCCAATCCACTGTAGTTGCAGAAGGCGGGGGGCGCTTCAGGAACCCCTAAATAACACAGGGGCAGGGAAGTCCTGCCTGCTCAGCGGTCCCGCCACACACCATTGTGTCAGGCCTGATGTCATGACTCACTCAGGCCGTTTCTGGGCGTCCTGTAGCGTGTTTTCCAAGCATGAGATGGGTTCAGTTCGAGCTTCGTGGCCAAAGGGACCTCAGCGGAAGCTACAGTAGTGTCAGAGGGCTGGCCTCGGGGGCTGGGAGGGGAAATGGGCCCCAGGAGCGGCATGGGGCCCCTCCTCAGCACTGGGGTGCAGGTGGCAGGCCCAGCCCTCCAGCCTCTGTCACCAGGGGAGGCTTGCAAGCGCTCCGATCCTGGAACACTTGGAGAACCCATGCCCTCCGAGGCGCTGGGTGCCTGGCAGTGTCTCTGACGCCTGGCATAGAACAGATCCAGGGAAAGCTGGCCACCAGGCTTCCTGCGGGGAGAGGCCAGCGCACTGCGGGCAGCTGGGACGCAGCTCTGGGACCAGCAAATGCTCCGGTGGGATTCCCAGCCTCCCCACCTCAACAAGGGGAGCTGCGCGCAGGGAAGGGAGTAAGCAGGCTGCTGAGACGTGAGCTTCTCAAAGACACCAAGCCGGCAGTAAGCATGGGTCACTGGCCTGAGGGCAGCGTACGCCCTTCTCAGGACGGCCAAGGACAGAGGCAGCGGCAGGGGCCAGGGAGAGGCCGCAGACCCACACCTGCCTGGCTGCCCCGCTTTGTGCCTAGCACCAGGCTGGCGGCAGGTCTGTTGTCAGCTGCCAGCACCCAGGGCTGTCCTTTGCCTTGTCAGAAGCTGAGTGGCCTGTGCTTCTCAGCCACTAACCGGCTGAGTACCACCTGCCCGAACCCACATCCCCACCTGTCCAGCAGGGTGAAACTACACACCTCCTGCTTTCTGGCCCCACTGCCTTCTCAGAGTTGAGGGAGAAAGGTGCCCTTTGGTGAAAGAACCTTCCTGTTCTCTGGGGTCAGGACTGCCTTCTCCAGGCCTTCCAAACTGACACTGTCTGACCTGCTTTTGTTCGGGAGATGTTGTGGGCTGGTGCACCGGGATGTGCCCATGGCTCTGTCCAGGGCTCGGAGCACTGACCGATGTGACAGGTAGCCGGGTCCTGTGCCCACCCCAACAGCAGTCGTCTCGAGTCATCGGAGGGAAATCTGAGGATACAGGGCGAGCCCAGGTCAGCAAAGCTGGTGGACTCAGGGTAGCGATGGGAACATCCCTTCCTGCCACATAGTCCAAGATCTCTCCCCTGAGATTGTGCCTCATGGGGCCGTGGGATGGGAGGAATGGAGGTGGCTGGGAACCCACAGTTTCAGCACAAAATAATGAAATGCAGGGCCTAGGTGGGCCTTCCAGTCCCCACTGAGGCTCTACCTCCCTATCAAATGCTTTCATCCCTCCCTTAATTAGAGACTATTAATTAGCAGCCTGTGAGGCACCCCTAGCCCAGAAAGGCAGGCAGAGTGCAGGAAGGGGGCACTTACAGCTGCTCCCATAAAGGCTTGTGGGACGAAGAGGGCAAAAATACAACGCAAAAAATGTCTTCTTTCACTGTGATAGCAAGAACTGGAACTTGCTGGAACATACCTTATTCCTCTGAATCCACACCCTGACTGCACCCTACTTGGCTTCTCCTGTCCCCAGCCCTCCCCGCCCTCACCTCTGCCACCATCTCTGCTCCATTCTCTCCTTCTCATCCTGTGTTCTAGCCCATTCCTGCACTAGTGGGAGCAGAGAAACAAAAGCACAGACCGTGTCCCTGAGAGGCACACAGGGGCCCAAGGCCATGAGTGTGGGGGGTGCCATTGGTCTCACCTCAAACGGGAATGAACTGGAAGACACTCCCACTCCAAGCCCACCTGAGGACTAGTGGGGATATGACCAAAAGCCGCATAACACTCACTCTCTGGAATCAAGGTGCCAAATTTCCGGGAAAGCCCCCTTAAATGGCAAATGCCCTAAAGGGATGAGGCTGAAAACATATGAACCGGATGACCTGATTCCCAGGAACGCAGGTGCTCATTGCTGCTGTGGCGTTCCAGCCCACAGGTGCATGCGTCCCCTGCAGCTACCCCTGACTCCTGTACCCCTGACTCACTGGGGCCCTGCTGGCCCTGGGGTGGGGGCAGGTGGGGGCAGGCCAGACCCCGGGAGCTTCTGCTTCCAGGAGGGTTCTTGGGATTCGATTTCCACACCCACCACCCCACCTCTTGGCAGCTCCCTCCACCCCAGACCCGGCCTTCATGTTCCCAGCAAAGGCCATTTCTAACCATGTTCAGATGAGGGGTCAACCTCTCAACCCCCAGGGCTCCCCCTGGCTTTCACTGTGGGCTCTGGGCAGTGGCCATTCGTACTAGCTCACTGTAAATAAGATTTGTGAAACAAACCTATAAATGTATTTAGCCAAAGCATGACAATGTGATAAAAATGCATTCACATTTGAATTTAGTTAAATAATCACCTCATTGAAAAGAGTAAAATTATCTTACTGTGGGACCATCCCAGAAAACCTGGGCTGGGATGGTCTACAGCTATATTCTTGGGGTGGTCCTCCCCAACAGGCCCCTTTGGAGAGGAGAGGAAACGCCTTACCCAGAGGACCGCCTCTGGCTTCCACCTCATCTCACCTCATTTGCCCCCAAGCCCTGCAAGGCGGATTATTATACACATTTTACAGGTGAGGAATAGCCCCGGAAATGTCATTAAACTACCTAGGACATATGGGAGTGAACAGTGGCACTAGGATTGTAACCTTGGCCTTTGATACCCACGCTCATGTCCCCACCCTGCCACCCTCCACAGAGCAGAAGAAAGCCACCACGTTTTCTCTGCTCACACAAAAGAGTCTGTTCTCAAGGACCTAATACGAGGACAGCTAGGCCCATGCTTGTCCCCTTGTGGGACACGCCATGGATGGAAGGCAGTGAGGCCAAGGGGCTGGGCCTGGCCTCCTCTCTCCCTGCGTGAGCTTGCATCATACATCTGTCGGTCTAGGTGCCAGACCAGTTTGCAACCAGAGCATTATCATGCCATCTAAAATACCTCCTGGCACATTTATGATGCTCTTACTAGTCAATCAGCCTGAGCAAAAAGCCCAAATGACGTCCTCAGGTAGGAGATGAAGGGGATAAACAACGAATACAGCAACGATCCTAAAAATTGCCCTTTTATTGAACCAAGACATGGTTTGTCTGAAAATTTTCTCTTTGTAATATCTGGCTTTCATAAGATTTGTAAATAAGGGAGTCACCTAGATTTTTTTGGAATTCATGGAGTTGACCACGCATTTGGACTCTAAAGACCATCCACGTGTTTTCTTTCCCACTGTTAGCTGGACATCCGCGTTTCCTCGGCATCTCTGACATCAGTATTAGGGCTGGCGGCATGGGAGGTGGTTTCCCAGGGCTGGGACACAAAAGGTACAGATGCGTGCCATCCTCAAAGGAGCACATGGTCTAATCAAGGAGACAGAAGTCTGGTCCTCCTAACCCCAACCTGGGACAACTCAGAAGGAACATCCCAGTTCTAGAATATTCTAAGGGACCAGCTGAGGTCTTTGTTGTGATGGCTTCACAATACGCTTACTTCTCTGCCCCATCTGACTTGTTTCCTTTTTCTGCCACTGAAGGACCAAAGCTACACGCACAGAATCATTGGCTAAAAACAATTTTTAGGTGAGTATCATTTGTGGGGTAAATCATCATTAAACAAGGAATATAATCAGACATGACCATTTGACTTTAAGTTGTATTTTATCATGGTAGGAAATTCTATGCCTGCATCCAACCCTCTGCAACTTTGCTTTGAGCCTTTCCTGAACACTGATGTCACCCCATCTAGAGAAGAAGGGCGATGGGTGGCAAGTGGACAGATGGTACCTGCGTGGAGCCTTGGTCTGCTCTGAAAGGACTCCGTCCCTGCTCACTGCCGCACACAGCTCATGACTTTTGCCCACTGGAAACCAGAACTGCTCTGAAATCATTTTCTGATCTAACCCAAAGCACAGTCTCTGTGGCAGAGAGCCACGGGGGGCAGCAGTCGGGACTGCAGCTGCTCAGAAGCCCCCGCTCTCTTGCAGCAACGGATACCTCCTGCCAGAGTCTCCTTCTTGCCAACATTTCTGGGGGAGGAAATGCAAGTTTTCCCCCCTGCTTTGCCACTGGCCGGTCAGGTGACCTGTGGCAAGCCTCCTCATGCTGGGGTGGCCCACGGCAAGGCCCCACCTCTCTGGCCCCCAGGGGCCACTTCCACACCTGGTGGACAAGTCAGCTGGCTGAGCTCCTCCCAGTTTGGCACCACTGCCCAGTACCTTCCTCTGTCTTTGAGCTGAAACCTGTGCCTCAAGTTCATTTCAGAAATCTCAAAACACAGTTAACAAGCAAAGAGTGAGGCAAGGAGAGGAGTCACCTCCCTGCACTCCTGGCACTGACCCCAACTCGCACGCATCATTGGTGATGGAACGGGAGCTGGGGTGGCACTGCCAGTGCCCAGTTTTGGGAGGACCTGACTCCAGCACTCCTTGGCATGCTTCTGCCCCCTGCCTCACTCACAAGCCCCTCAAAGCCCACCTGTTCCTGGGAAAGCCCTGCGTCCACGGTCACGGTGCTTGAGCCACATGGAGACCTCAGACTGCGATCCTCTTACATGTAGAATATATGTTAAGGGTGATAAAAATAATTTTTAGGTGAGTATCTAATTACATAATTTATTAGATTAATTACATAATTTAAAAATTTATAAATTAAAAAATTACATAATTTTAAAAATTACGTATTGATTATGTAATTAACAATGCTAATTACATATTAACCTACTAAACATCTTAATGTTATTACATATTACAGTTGAGTAACATATTAATAGGTAATAATTATATTATTATACATTAATGTGTGATTCTATAGTAATGTCACATTAATTATGATATAATATTACTTTTTATGTTATATATCTATTTGAGAAAGAATAAATGTTTGTTGTTTTTCAGGCACTATGCTTTGGGTGTTCTGACAGCGGCAGGGGTGAGCTGAGAGGGTGATGTGTGCCACAGATTCCTCTGTAGACTCCATGCCCGGCCAGGGGCAGGCACGCCTAGCTGGGTCACAGCTGCACTCTCTGAGCCCTGCGCGGTGCCAGGCACACAATAGGCTTTTGGCGAATGTTTGATAACTCAGTAAGAACTCGCCTGCTTATTGGACAGAGAGCCTGCACAGGATTTCCTGATTCCTGGTTTAGTGTTTATATTCAGTTACTTAAAACACATACACACACACAAAGTGAGAAAGAACTAGAGATAAGACATACAGAATGACAGAAGGCAGATTATTTATTTTTGAGGTGAGATGGATACAGAGTCGCCTTCAGTGACCTTCAATGATCTGGAAGGAGTGAAGAAAAGAGCACAGCGACCCAGTCAACCCCAAGGGCAAACCGCTGGAAGGCGGCTCGCCAGACCAAGTATTTGGTCTCCGTGTGCCCATCATGTGGGTGGTGTCTGTCCTCCCCACCAGTCCTCGCCTCCCACCCTTGGGTAGCCTGGACTATCCCAGGGCTGGAGCAGGGCCCAGCAGAGACATCAAAAACCCAATTCAACACAGCAAAAGTTGTGCCAACACTTCTATGGCAAAGACAGCAATACGAGTAACAACAGTGATACTGCTTCAGCGGGTTATTTTAAAGATAAAGAGAGACGGCTTATGGGAAAGTGTGTGGCTGGCACATAGCAAGTGCTCCATCAGTCTTAGCTAAACCGATGACAATCATGCCTTCCCAGGTGGTCTCTGATCATCGACAGTATTCATGGGTCAGAGCCACGGGGAATGAAGCTGACCCCTTGAGCAATGTCTGGACTGCGAGGAGGAAGGGAGCTCTCTGGGTGCTCATCACCTAATTTGCTGAAGACAAGACTGGGACCGGGGTGAGGACAGCCTCAAAGGCATGGCCCAGTGGCTCTTGCATGGCCCGCGTTGCAAGGCAGGATGGAACTAGGTGGAGGGTCTCCACAGGGCCCAACAGAGAGAAGGCTGTGTGGAAGCTGCTCGCCAGTCCTCTGAGCTGGGCTGCCGGCTCCCTCTCCCCTCCTCTCCACCCTGGCCCCAGGACCAGGCCTGGGTGGTTACACAACGGGGATGAGCGGGGCCAAGAGGAGGTGCTCCACGCATGCGGAGCAAGCCAGGTCCCGAGGCTGCCATAGCAGCCCAGGACTTCCAGCAGGGAGGGGAGGGGGTGCAAGGAAGACCCAGATCTTGGGGAGCATCACTGAACTGTGGGCAGTGGAAAGCATGGTGGCTTCGCAGGCCTGGTGCCACTCTCTTCAGCAGTGCTGGCGTGTCCTGCCCCTCTGCTGCACCTGCTCACGTGGCTCTACCAGAACACAGCCTGGAGTTTCTGACTGCTGCCTTTTAAGGCAGGCACTTAGCTGTGCTTTTAAGGCAGGGGCCCTGTTGTATCAGGTCCCAGGGGTCACTGTAACAGCACCACAAGCAGGGCAGCTTTAAACCATAGAAAAAATGTATTCCCTCAGTTCCGGAGTCCAGAATCCAAAATCAAGGGGCCGGCAGGCCATGCTCCCTTAAAGTCTCCAGGGGACGACCCTCTCTTCCTCTCCCAGCTTTGGTGGCCCCAGGGCCTTTGGCTTGTGGCAGCTTCACCCTCTCTCTGCCTCCACCTTCACATGCTCTTCCCTCCGCATCTCTGTACCCCAAGGCCCCTCTTAGGACACCAGTCATACTGGATTAGGGACTTAGCCTAATGACCTCCTCAAAGTGGCTGATTACATCTGCAGAGACCCTATTTCCAAATAAGGTCAGAGTCACAGGTACCAGAGGTTGGGATGTCAATTATATCTTTGTGAAGACATAATTCTTCCCACAACCCCGTCAACCTTTGTATCTGCAGCTCCGGCACAGTGCCTGGAAAACAGACCCAAACGAGCTGGCTGCTTCCCAGTCCTGGCTCCACCCCGCCCAGCTGGGAACATCACCTCAGCAACTCTCCTACAATACATTTCTTTACAAACTGGGAAGTGGGTGCCCACTTCCTAAAATTCTTCCTGGCCCTGTTGCATCCTTCCTCCCGTCCCCCCACCTCCCCCACCAGCACCAATGGAGGCCACCCAGTGCTGCCCTGGACCTGGCTCTGCTTGGAGGGCCGCATCCCTGCTGTGCGCCGCCCCACCCCCCAACCCCCAGGCTGATGGCAGAGCTGCAGGGCTTCCCACAGCCAGTGCCCCGCCTCTGTGCGGGGAAAAAAGGCCGGATTCCTGGGGCTACTGAGAGCAAATTGGTTTTTGTTGTACATTCATCAGCAACTTCGCTGCCAGGTCAGAGTATATCAAAACACAGAGGCCTTGGCAGAAGCCCCAAAGCACGAGGACATCTGATTGGCCAGCGACAAGCCGTGAGTTGGCAGAGAAGGACTTCCTGTCAACAGGAAAGAAAGGATGGAGATCAAATTATCTTCAAAGTGGGCAGTGGAAGAGAGAGAGATGCGTGAGATTCGGATTAACCATTCCAATGCAGGGCCAAACCAGTCATGTGGGAGGTGCTGTCTCCCACTGGAGGGGAGATGCGCAGCGGTTTGCTCTGCTGCCAATGTGAACGCTGTTCAGCGGGGTCTGAGAATTCCCCATGGTTAAGCCTCAGGGACAGAATTTACCTCTCCTGTGGCTCCTCTGCCCGTCTTAGAGAAATGTCAAGGTCAATTAACCAAGCAAATTAAGGACTCTGTTTCAACGTGGCTGCTCAACACTTACTTCATTGGCCTTTGTTCCACATTTTAAGCAACGCCGACGATTTTCTGACATTTGGTTCCATGTCACAGCTTACCCAGATGGGTGGGTCTGATGTCTTATAAGAAGTGGGAGGCAGCCAGTGTTTCACGGGTGATCATATTCACCAATGTGGGTCAAAGGCAGGGTGGGTGGAGGGGCACAGGGGAAGGAGGGCTGGATTCTCACCCAGCCCTCTAGCACGTCTGCTGCCCTGCTCAGTAACCTGAGGGGCCCCCACAAAAGTAAAATGGTGCCCAGCAACTGAGTGTCACTGGCCGCCAGCCGAAAAAACCAAAAGGGGAAAAGAGGGGAAGTCAAAGAGAGTTTAACAGTCAGGAAACTGCACATATTTGGCTGAATGGGTTTAGAGGATACGACTAACTCAGAGGTGACAGGAACGAACAGTGAGCTGGTGAGAAGGCGTCGGCAGGTACAAAGGGCTCACGGGCTCTCTCTCCAGCCAATCTAGAGCTCAGCACCACCTAAAGGGCCAACCCAGGGAGATTAGCAGCAGAATACAGCTTTGTTAGATTTTATTGGAGGGCGGCAGTTCAAAGAAAATGGGCAGGGCAGGATATGTGGGTCAAAGGCAGGGTGGAGAACCCCACAAGTCCACGATGTGTGCGGACACAGTATCACATACACACACTACTAGGCTGTTACTTTGTCTGTTACCTCAGGGCTGGGGATGCCCTTTTGGTGAAGTAACGATCCAGGATATCAACAGCTGCATGGATCACTGGGCCGCTGTGCAGCATTCAGAGCCCAGCTTCCACAAGGATCTGGAACCCCCACAGACAGCTCAGAGGGAGGGGGCAGCAGAGGACAGGCTGGATGAAGGGTGAGAGCTAGGAGGAAGCACACATTTCCTTCCGTGGGCCACCAGCCATGGCAGGGGAATGTGCTTGCTCTCAGTCGGGTCCTCTGTGAAGCGGGATAAGAGGATGAGACCAGGGGAGCCAGCCTGAGGGTGCACCCCAAGGCGTTGAGTGTGCGAGTCTGCAAATCCACACGCTTCGTGTGTGCTCTGCTCCTACTGTCATGCAAGCTGGTCCACGGCGGTCTGTCACGCTCTGCAGGGTACACACAGCCATCAAGGACGGGGACTTTTGTATCCATTCTCTGCCTGCCCACCCCTTCCACAGGCCCAGCACTGGACTCTGCATAACTGGCACTCCGCCAATGTGCTCTGTCCATGCTTCAGGAAGTCCACTCTCTGATCAGCTATACTCACATCCTGTGAGCTGTGCAGGGGCATCCCGGCCTCATCTATAAACCCTGGAGCCGCAGGACAGTCTGGGAGCCCCATCACTGGGCAGCTCAGCTCCTGAAGGTTCCGATAACATACTCTGGGCTCTATAAGAGCCTATGCTCAGGGCACGCAAGGGGCACTGAATCACTGAAAGGTGGAGTCAAGGAACATCCCAGGGTGGCTCAATGAACTGGCCCATACTGGGCAACCCTGGCTGGGGGCTGATGCAGATGTTCATCTTTATTTGGAAGCCAGACACAACCTGCCTTTGTTTAACAGTCAGTAACCAAGGATATCTCTTTTCAATGACAGCTGAAAAGGTGCAGATGACAGATAGATGGCTGGATAATTGGTGGACGGATGGATGGATGGATGGGTTGGTGGATAGACAGATGGACAGGAAGAGTAACTCATGGGGACAAAAGAAATGACTTAGGATTCACACTGGGGAAATTGGAATCAATGGTTTTTAAACCCCTCAAGGCACATAATCACCTGGAGAACTTACTAGAAACACAGAAAAACAGAACCATGGGTCCCACTCCTCAGAGATTCTGATTCAGCAGGTCTGGGCTAAGACCTGGGATTTTTATATTTCAAACAAACACTGGGTACTCTCCTTAAGTTGGTCCAGGAACCACACTTTGAAAAAGACTGCC